AAAGTCTTTAGCCTTAAGCCCATTTTCTCTACTACCTCTGAGCTGATTATGCACCTTGTGCACCCAGAGTTTAACAAGGCCAGCATTTCCCCTTTGGCTCCTGACATGGGTACCCTTAATCTCACTGGAATGGTCATAGGGCCCTTGTTTGGACTTACCAGTGAGTCGACTTCCGATTCGGATTCACTCTCTTCAGAAGAGGTTGGAGTTCCCAGCTCCTCTCCTTTCGGAGGAGCGATCTCTACAACCTCCTCCACTTTAAGCACATCAGAAGCATGCAGTTTGGGTCTTGGGTTTTGCCACCATCCCTCCCTTTTGAGGTTTTAAGGCTTCTAGAGGGCTGGTGGGGGTGGACTTGCTCCAACCAAGCCCCCCCCCCCCAAGTGCCTGTTTCGGGTCAGATCAATTTCCACTTCTGCTGCCAGCATGTACCACAGCTTCAGCTCACTGGGGTCTCTTCTGGCAATACAGCTTTGATAAACATCTTCATTCAAACAATCTTTAAAAGCCTCTATCAGGGCTCCCTGGGACCAGCCTCGAATATGGCATGCCAGCTCTCTAAATTCCTTGGTGTAATCGGCCACTGCTCTCCGCCCCTGATTTATGGTTTTCATCCTCATTCTAGCCTTATGTTCAGCCAGTGGATCTCAAATCTGGCACGCAACGCTGTCATGAACAGGTCATAATTCAACAGTTGGGGGCATTATCATTATGCAAAGTCACCATCCATTTTGCAGCGGTTCCCTCCAGAGCCCTGGTCACACATCTAACTTTGGTTGCTTCCGAGGAAAAATCCCCTCCGTATTCCTCCATATGGCTCCAGACTTGTGCCAGGAAGAACCTTAACTCCTTGGGATCTCCTCCATATTTTACTTCCAATGGAGGCACCTTTGGAGTTCTATGCCTTCTGGCAATTGCTCCCTCTGCCGGAGGGCCCTGGGCTGCTGCTGCCTGTTGCTCTGGCCCAGGTTGATTTATGGGGGTGGCTGCTCTGGTTCTTCTGGCTGGGGCTACTTCCCCCTCTTCCCCCTTCTACCTTTGATCAGTCTGAGTTTCTCTGACAGCTTCATTTAGAAGATGCAGGGCTTGAGTTAGTAAAAAATTCCTTCTTTCCTTCTCTTACCATGGCATTCTCTTCCACGCCGACGGGTAGTGGTCGCTCCTGGAGGAGGCTTTTCCTCAGGATCTTTCCAGCCAATTCTCAGGGACCATTTGGGCTTTACAGTTGGTTTTTCACCAAGACTTAATTCTGCTAATAAGTCGGCTTCCCCTGCCACCTATAACAGCAGGGAATCTGGTCCTCTAGTCACTCCCAGGTCTTCTTGGTCACTGGCTGGATTAGACATTCAAACCCCCTCGGAAGAAAGTTTGTTAATTCTCCGGGTGGGCTGGTAAAGTCAGATTCAGAATAATGTCAGATAGTGTTCCATTCAAAATCCAAGAAAGAAATACTTAGATTCCATTAATTAGAGAAAAGATATCTTTTACTGGAAATCAAGTGGTAGCAACAAAAGAATTCTGAATCTGAGAAAATGAGCACATAAATCACATATACAAAGTGATGGCAATGTTCCCACCCCCAATAGTTCAATTGGCTCATCCAATTAAAAGTTGTGTATAGCATCATGTGGGCATCTCCAGGTGGTGATGAGGCCTTTGTCCGTTGACCTTGGCATATTTTGATAAAGAGTTGAGGCTGCGCATAGCATAGGATAGAAGCCTAAGCAAGAAACTTCCCCTCCCATCTTATATAGTTCTGTTTTGGAAAACCTCCAGCTCGCTTCCCATAATCATGTCCCCCTCCTCCCCCTGTTACTTATGACAGCCAAAAGATGCAAAGCAAAGGAAGAAAATCTTGAAGGCTGACAGGCTGGCACTCAGGAGCTCGATGACCTGTTTGACCACAATGGTAGCACTTGATGACTCCAGTAGGCAGAGCAGGAGCTGGCTTTGTCAGGGGACATTGGGCCAAAGTTCTCCTTGCCACTTCTCTAATGAGGGCTTGCAATTTGGATGAATTTCCCTATCCAAAGTAATAGACATAATATGCCAGTTGTGTAACCACTCTGGTACCCCTCTGACACCACAGACTTTTCTGATTTGTTGGTCAATTGCTTCTTTAAAATAGTGGAGAAGGATTCTGTCAGGCCAATGGCCAAGGTTCCCAGTGACTCTCCTAAAGTCCCACACAAAGTCCTTTATGGGTTGGTTACCTTGTTTTATCACCTTTATTGTGGCTTTATTCTCACTAACTTGGCCTTCGAATCTGGCCCAGAGCAGTTCAATGAACCCATCAGCATCATTTAACTCAAGAGCCTCCACATTGTGCCGTGGGGCTATCCAGTCAGAAGTGTCCCTTTCATTCATTCTGTCTGATTGCTGATACCAATTTGCGGGCTGAACCATATTGTTCCCCAAATTGGTCTTTGTGAGCCCAAACTCAGCTGAGGAAATAAGCCAGCTTGCTGGGGATTCCATCAAACATTGCCCTAAACTGAGGAGGTGGAGGCCTGGCCAGAGGTGCAGGCTGTTTAGCTGGTGGAACTGGCACCACAGCTGGTGGTGGGGCAGGGACCTGTTACTACACTGTGGCTGGCGGCGGGGCAGAGACCTGCTGCTGCACTGCTGCTGGCTGTGGGATTGTGGCTGGTAGCTGGACAGGGATCTGTTGTCACACATACATACACACACATACACATACATACATACAAACACACACACACCCCAGTTGAATCCCACCACATTACATGTGTGTGTGTGTGTATACATACATACATACATACATGCATTGTGCTTATCTTCATCTGAGGACATAGTTGAGAAACTGGCAACAATGATTTCCCTGTCACAAATCACTACTCAAATATTGAGAGGAGAAAGTGATGATGATTTTACTATGAAATGAAAAATATTCTGTTTACTTCCAGGAAATTACATAGAGAAATTTAGTACTTTCAGAATGTTTGGGAAAATGATAGGGATGGTAACAAGGAAATGAACATTTCACAGCTTATTTTTAATAGCAGCTCATCCCACAAGGTTACAAACTCAGTTTTGTGATAGACAAGATTGTCGCTAAGACTTAACTGGAACCCAACTATATTAAAAATTTCAAAATTATTCTGTATCTGAACCATTCAGAAAAACTGTTTACTACCTACAACAATATGGTAACCTCCCATTTTACATGTAGAAAAGTAATTGGAATGGAAGTGGGATTTTACTTTAGCACCGGTGAAGACTTTATTTCATTTCATTGGAAAGGAACTAGGAGTACACAACAGCTTAGTATTTGCAATTCTAATTTCTGACCTCTTCCCACTATTCCACACACATAAGCTTTATTCTATCCAATATAAAGCTACACCTAGTTGGATTTAATTCTGGCTGATACTGTAGTAGAAGAAATGACTATTGCTTGTCACATCTTGTTAACAGATCTTCCAAGGACTCATGTACTAAAGCAAAACATAACAAATATATAATGTAAAATCCTAAGCTAACAGAAATACATGTAACAATAAAAAAATAATAATTACAAAGGTGCATTTTCAAAAGGCACCTTTTTACAAAGCACCTTTGAGACTACCATGACCTGCATAACTGAGAATTTCTATAGACATTTAATAATAGACTGCTTTCTAGAGAAAGTTGTAGAAATCCAAATAAGATTATGTGTTTGCCATTTTCACCATGCTAACTTCAGGTAATAGATAGGAATTTTATATTTTATTTTATTATTATTTTATTTATTACTGTCCAGCTCATTTTGAAGTGACTCTGTGTGACTTACGGTATTAAAAGTATTAAAATCATAAGACATAAATATTTATAAAACAATTAAAATGGAAATTACAATAACATAGAATTATAATTAAAAGATGGGGAGTAAGCAGGATATATGGGGTGGGGAGGGGGAAATGGTATTACTTCTTATTTCATTAACCACTCCAGTGTTATGCATTCCCCATTGGGCCTCAAGCCATCTGGCAAAGCCAGGTCTTCATGCTCTTGTAGAAGGTCAGAAGGATGGGCATCGATCTCACTTCAGGGGGTAAGATGTTCCAAAAGGCAGGCACCATGGCAGAGAAGGTCCTTCTGGACCTGGCAGTGGGAATTTCTTGACAGATGGGACCTGTAGCATGTATTTTCTGCCAGTGTAGGTGGCCCAGGCCAGTCCCAGTGGGGTGAGACAGTTCCTCAAGTAACCTGTACCCAACCCCAATATGGAGATTAACCTCAGAGTTGTACTTAGATAAGTTTATGAAATAAACTTTCTTTTAGAATAGATATTACTTTGTGTCACAGAAGTATTTAAGTAATCCTTATAAAGTTAGATATCCTTGGCAGCAGTTTTAGGTGTAGGATAAGGTATAAAAATATGGATGGGGGGGCCTATGTGATTTTTCCAGTTACTGAATGTTCAGGGTAACTCAGTAATATTTGGTGTGTGTACCAGTTAGTGTACATAGCATTTTTCCCATAATAGCTTACCAAGGGAGGAAAAACCATTATACTAAAGCACTTTTAAGCCAACCTGTCAATTAACTTTTTGCTTCTGAAGATTGTTGGAGGTTTGAAGGGAGAATAAGGTAAGCATATACTAACTATGATTGTAACTACTTAGATGTATTCTCAATTACATAGTTGAAAAGTTGCAACTTTGAAATTCTTACATAACCCTCTATTCATGAAATGTAATTATTACTTGGCTCTGTTCAAAAAAGCAATATCTTTGGACATGGTAATATCCCTTTCTCAGATAGACTATTATCCTCCAGATGTTTAATATTTCATTTCCCATCACCCATGCCCATAACAGCATGGAATTGTGGGAGCTGTAGTTTAAAAGGACTAAGTATCTCTTAAATACCTACCATCCATGGCTATATCGTTGCTCAACTGATTATTGTGAATATATCACAATTAAAATTTAAAACAGCTAAAAGATGTCTTACCCACTTGAATAATAAAATTGTTTCTCCAATTTTCTTTTTCAGAAAGAAGCAATGAATATAATGGGACGACTTGCTGCCTCAGAACTAAAATGTCAATAGGATCTTCTCTGTTTTTTGTTTCTCCTTCCACTGCTGTTCTCACTGCTCATAACATCATTTTATTATCAAAGAATGGTAGAGAAAAGTGGAGCAAAGCTAATAGTCTTTCTCTTGTAGTCTCTCTGGATGTAGTCTTTTCATAAGTGTCTTGAACTTGACCTCTTTTGAACGACACAAAGGTCCAACACACATTTTGAAAAGTTATATTTAAATTTTAATGTTTTTTTTTAATTCTGCAAGCTATTTAATAACACACTCTCAAAACACAGAGCATAAATCTTTCAGGGTGGTCATAGAATAGAAATTGATGGACAAAGCAGAGAAGCTTAGCAAATGCCCTGAAGCAGCTTTCTTTCTTTTACATAGAAACCTACTACAGATGAATGTTCACAAGATTTTTTAAAAAGCTTTATTATGATTTAATCATCATGGTGCTGATACTAAAAATATAATTTAGTAAAGAATGGAGTTTGCTTTTTCAATACCCCACCCCTCATTATAAAAATGTTCTTTGTAGTGAGGCAATGGGGGCATTAGAAAGATTTACAGTAACAATATAAGTGACTATAATGAACTTGGGAACAAGGGAGTATTGTTATGATAGAGATCTTCTAGCATTTCTATCAGCACAAATATTGAGGGACCCAATCTCCTTTCTGTGTATCTGTATATTAATATTAACATGAACAGTAATTACAGGTACTTGGGATAAAGTTTATTTATGAGAACATAATACTTAAAGGTAAGAGCTGTAAAAATTAAAGACATCTACCTATAACAAAACCATTATCAACCATGGTTCTTCTGCAATATTTCAATTATGTTTATTCATGATATCTCAGCATCTTCATATTTCACTAATAATATTAATATAATTTTGCCAACTTTATTTCAGCTCCCAATATAGCTAAGCTTGGGGACTTGTCCTTATTTATTGAAGGACAAAACTGGCCACTTCATCATTTGTGTAACTAAAAACCTCTCAAATCCTGCTGGTACAGCATTGATCCTTTGCAAGTCTTATTAAATGAAAAGTTGGTAACCTACATTGAAGGTTTTGTTTCCTACCCTCCAAGTTTTACCTTAAAAAATTTACATCGTGCTGTTTTATCTTTTTAAGTAGAAGAGCCTGTTCCTACATGTCAGTGTTTCAGTGCAATCACGAACAAAATCATCACCAAGCTTTGATTTAAGAAAAAAGGATAAGCAAGGATAATATCCAGATAGCATTTTTACAATACCATATGAGAATTTTCCAGTTAATACTTCAAATTCAGATAGCCTCAGAAAATACCATAAGATAAAATGGTTATCTAATTATCTACAGACTGCCCCATTCTCACCTGTTAATTGTTTCAAACAAGCAAATGATGGAAGCAACTGTGATAAAATTTGACCAGTTTTTAAGAGTTATCATGGCATATGTGACCAGAATTTGTGAAAATTTTAAAGGATGGATTCATCATGAACACACTGCAATCACTAAGTATTTCCATCTTAGATATCCATTACTAGGAGAATTATTTATGCATTTATTTTATCATTTTGGCTTATATATAACTCTAAAGGCTTGAAATGGCTTTCAATTAACATAAACTAAATCTAGAATATCAATAGTATAATCAATACAACAAGAACATTTTAATGTATCACTCATTTGAGCAGCAGACCTTTAGTCATCTCCTTATGCTGTTCTGCAAAGCCATGATTCCACAATTATTTGAAAATAGGAGGTTCTGGGAATTGTAATCTACAGATCTTAAAGTTGTTAAGGTTGAGAAACACTGGTTTAAGGGCGGGGTAGGGGGTGTTGCTGAAAATACTTGAATATGTGTTCTCTGTCAATGACATTTTTTCAGGCTTGGAAATGTCAACAAGTCCTCAGTAGATATCATTGGGCAGACAAATTCAGCTTGGATGAATTATTCAGTTATTTTAACTAAAAGATGCAAACAGGATATCATGCTAGAAAAACAATTGTTCTCGTGTTGGATTTTTCTGAATATTAAAAAGAACAGGGAATGTATATCAAAATATTTATCATCAAGAGACAAGTTATTTCTAAAAGAGTAATCTATGAGAATTTCTTTGCTATAACACATTGTTCATGGAATATGTTCTATTGTTTATAGGCTATTTGTTCTCCTGATCTTAAAGATTTATTGGCAGCCTGTAAATTTATTAATGGTTGGTAAATCTTGGCTTCTATGCAGGGGTGGGATTCAAATTTCTTAACAACCAGTTCTGTGAGTGTGGCCTAATTTGTGGGTGTAGCTTAGCCACGTGACAGGGTGGGCATGGCTTGTATGTAAATATAAATATTTATGTAAATATTGATTTTTTTTATAAAAAAGAGCAACTTTTACCCCAAAACAGGCAGGCAGATTGAGTTGCTCACAGAATTACAGATTCACTTAGAGATCTATCTTTCTACAATCAGCTACCTGAGTCTGTCACATAAAATTTGCTAGCAAGCAAACTCACAAAATTAACTCACAACACACCATGTGTAAATATTGATTTTTTTTATTTAAAAAAGAGCAACTTTTACCCAAAAGTAGGCAAAGCAGGCAGGCAGATTGAGTTGTTCACAGGATCACAGATTCACTTAGAGATCTAGCTATCTGCAATCAGATACCTGAGTCTGCACTGAAAAAGTAGAAACTTCAGTTCTAAGGAAGGTTTGGCTCTCCTTTAGATTAGCTAGAAAGCAAGAAATCCAAGGATTTCCTGCTTTCTAGCTAATCTAAATCTCCCGGCAGAGCAGAACAGCTGATGGTTGGGGGGAAAAAAAGGAAAAATAGCAACTTACCAAACCAGGCAATTTGGATGGCTCTCACACCAGGTAAGGAGTGAGTGGGAGGGGAGGGGTGGGGCCAGACACTGGAGCGATTTGCTGGTTCTTCAAAATGTGGACAATCAACATGCGTGTGTGCAGCGTTTGCAATAAAGCATCACCTATGCTGCCTGGACAGCTGACAAGCGTTACGCATGGATGCGCAGTATTTGAAAATCTTGTTTCCTGCTTTTTCAACCTCAGCTATGCTGTGCAAAGCAGCTGAGTAGGGAAAAGCAGGGAATAAAGGACAGCCTAGAGCCTGGGCAGGTGGTGGGCCAAACACCGAACCGGTTCAGTGTCAGCTGCTCTTCGCAGCTACCGGTTCTATAGAACTGGGCCGAACCGGTAGCATCCCACCCCTGCTTCTATGAGAGCAGCAAAGTAGCCTAATAGTGAAGGTACTTGCCTACCATTTAGAAGTTTGACAGTTCAATCCTGGGTAGACGCAGATGTTTTTTTCCTGGGGTGGAAAGAAAAAATATCTGCATAGACTTGATAAATCTCCAAAGTCTTCTGGATGTATCTTACTTTACAAGAGATTTGAAAGAATTCCTTTTCACATTTTGGTTTTAAAAGCATGCTTCTTTTTAACCTAAAACATAAAAATGAAAGCTTTTTTTGCGTGTGCCATTGTTTTGAGAATAGGTTATCACACAGAATATGTGTGTGGCAGCAAAATCCTTCTCTTAATATCAGAACAAGATATTTTTAATTCTACAAAGTCTGAGAGGAAAAATGCATTATTTTGACATTGGGCTTAAAAACCCAATCTAATGATACATGCTGATCTGTCAGTTTTATCATTTTATTTAATACCTAATTTGCTAATATAGAATATCCAAATATTGTTTAACATGTAAAATTTGTACACATAGAGCAGGTGTGAGAAGGTACATGAGAAATTGCAATGAATAAGGGGTATAGCCCTTCCTCTTCCACTTGTGGAAATAATTGGAATGGAAGAAATGCATCATGCTTTTTTATTCTAAAAGTCAAAATAATCTACCTCAGCTACAGTTTCTTAACAGAATTAATTTTATTTAAATTTCAACACACTGAATTAATTTTGCTGTTCATTCCTCAGGCTGTAAAGTTATTCATAATACTTTTCTTGACTCAGTCTTTTTGGTGGTTTCTTTACATCAATGGACATCATATAATGTGTAATATATTTTGCTAGTGGGCTCACTTTCAAGTATTTCCCCTCAAGGTTACTACTATTGTAGCATTATTTGCAGTGATAATTCAAATTTAAAAAGGTGCGAAAAGAGGGTGTGGCTCTCCACAATTATCCTAAAGTTATTTTCAAGGGTAATTTTCTGCACTTTCTAATTTGCTTCAAACAGTTTAGTCTGGCATGAAAAAGTCCTTTTTGTAATCTCTTAAATGTTGGGATAACTGATCTCAGTATCCAGCCCCCTGGAGATTGCTGAATCATTACCTAAAAGAGAAACATTGTGCAATTGAATAATGTTGAAAAAGTTCTAAAAATACGAAGTGATTATTATAATTTAGCTTCTGTTCTTGATGCTGAAGAATGATATACAATGGAAATTTAATTTTGGGCCAAAGCCAAGTTCAAATCTCGTTTTGTAAATCTCCCTATAAACCACTTAGTCCAACAAATGCTAAATTTGTGTCTTAGTGTTTTACAATAATGAAAACTGCACATTATTAGTTGTATCCCAGACTGTATAAAGACATATTTCAGGGAAAAAATGTCTGTATTGACTCTAATCAGGTTAATTTTTATCTTCTATTTACAGTGAAGTATAGTAATCTGATCTCCATTCAAAGTAATGGGAAATGGGGAAAAATGAGTATCGGACCTAAACATTACCAGGCCATATACGTAGAAAGCAGCTAACCAAAAGCTAACCACTACCTGTGGTTCATGGGCTGTGAGTTGGTCAAATGTCTTACAAAGATAAGCACAATTTGGAAGTTGAAATAGAAAGCAAACATCCAAAGAAACATGTAAAACAGAGGTGGTATTTAGCAGGTTCTGACCAGTTCTGGAGAACTAGTAGCAGAAATTTTGAGTAGTTTGGAGAACCGGCAAATACCACCTCTGACTGGTCCCGCTCCCATCTATTCTCTGCCTCCTGAGTCCCAGCTTATCGGCTGGGTCTTCTTTTGTTGCCCTGCACAGGAGAACAGAGCTGGAAAGAAGGTTAGTGGGGTGGGGAGGGAATAGGATTTTGCAGTACCCTTCCCCTGCCATGCCTACCAAGGCACACCACACCCACCAAGCCACACCCACAGAACCAGTAGTAAAAAAATTTGAATCCCATCACTGATATAAAAACATTTTTACTACATGTAAACCTTTGTTACTGATGAGAGTATTATTACTTTAAATAGACTGTCATATAGTTTGCAAAGTAATTGGTAGTTGGTTTTAACTTTTAATAGTTCAGCTAGTTTGTATTTTTAAAATAAGGTTTGATGCTGGAAACAAAAATAAAAACTTCCACAGGTTTTCATATTTTTATATGGGTTAGATCAGCTTTTGTAAATCTCTGGCATCAGGGGAATGCCAAGATATTTTCAAAATTATAACCAACATTATACAGTATTTAAACGTATCAATATGTATTTGCAAATCTGGGTTTACTAACATTTTCTCCAAATGTTCCTTTTTCCACTGAGATATTGTCATATCAGAGTTGTTTTCAAGTCTACTTTGTCAAAGAACCAAGCAAACAAACAACCTTTGAAAGGACTTTTACAGGGGAAAATGTAATAAAGTGTTAAATGTTATTCACTTGCTTATACTTTTTCCCTTTTAGTTGCTATCACAGTGCCCACATTAGTCCTGAAAGACAAACAGGGTAATGTGAAATTTATATTGTTCTTTTGTAATAAACATACAATTCCATTTTAAGGTTATGTAAATGTACCATACCAATATTGTCGGTTGAAAGAACATCTGACATATCTTAAATCTTTGAGCAGTAGATATCTTTGGAGATAAAAAGTAACATTATAATGCGTTAATGACAATGTTAACGTTGTGACTCATACACTAAACTGAGACCCCTATCAATTTTGTGTGTTGGTAATTATCCTCTTCAAGCGTACTATTTCCAAACTCTGCTTTCTTTTACTCCAATTTTTGTGACCATGAATACCTTAGTCCTCATTTTTTGAGAATTCACCTAAGGTTTTTCTCTTAAAATTATTTTAATTTTCTAAAAGTAATGGGTTCTTTCAGATTGCTATTAGCCATATTTTATAAATGGATGGTGTGAGCTAAGAAGGAATGCATTTCCACATTATATTTTTTCACTTATGTAACAAAACTAGTTGTTGAAGTTTTGGACTGGAACTGAATAAATCCAAGATTAGATCTTCATTTGAATAAGGAATCCTGGATAACTGTTTGAAATAGGCTATGATATAGTGATTAATCCAAAATTATAAGCAAAAAATGATGTAAAAATGACAGTCAATAAAATAAATATTAAGACATTCAAAAGATTCTTGTCTTTTATTGATGTTTATTTTAGGTATTCTTATGTTACCTCTCAAAGTGGATGGATAAATAAAAACATACAAACAATATTAAACAAATAAAAACAAGCTATGATACAATTCTACTCAATAATATCAAACCCATGATGCTCACTTTCCTTCCCT